AGAATAAAGAATTTGCAAAAATGTAACACAATGCAACCATTCTCATTAAATTCTCTCTTTGTTTTTGAAGATAGTTACTTTTCATTAAAATGTTATTTATGTAAACATGCAATGTGTTTATTTTTTAATGAAATGGTAAATATTTCAGACTTTTTTGGTTTTAATTTTAATATAGTAAGCATTGATAGATATAACCTAGGATCTGCAGTAATTTAACACCATATACAAAAATAACTCAAAATGGATTAAAGACCTAAACGTAAGACCAGATACTATAAAACTCCTAGAGGAAAACATAGGCAGAACACTCTTTGATGTAAATCATAGCAGTATTTTTTTTTGGCTCTGTCTCCTAAAAAGCAAAGGAAGTAAAAGCAAAAGTAAATAAATAGGATCTAATCAAACTTAAAGAATTTTTGCACAGCAAAGGAAACCATCAATAAGACGAAAAGACCAGCTATTGAATGGAGAAAATATCTGCAAATGATATGACCAATAGGGGTTAATATCCAAAATATATAAATAGCTCATATGATTCATCAAAAAAGCAAACAACCCAATGAAAAAAACGGGCAGAAGAACTGAACAGACATTTTTCCAAAGAGGAAAATGCCAATAGCACATGAAAAGATGCTCAACATCACTAATCATTAGGAAAATGTAAATTACAACCACAATAAGATGTCACCTCACATCTGTCAGAATGACTATCATCAAAAAGAGCACAAATAACAAATGTTGACAAGAATGTGGAGAATAGGGAATGCTCGTACACTGCTGGTAGGAATGAAAATTTGTGCAGCCACTGTGGAAAACAGTATAGAAGTTTCTCAAAAAACTACCATACAATCCAGCAATTCCACTCTTGGGTATATATATCCAAAAGAAACAAAAATACAAATTCAAAAAGATACATGCACCCCAATGTTCATAGCAGCATTATTTACAATTGCCAAGATATGGAAGCAACCTAAGCGTCTATCAACAGATGAATGTATAAAGAAGATGTGGTATATACACAATGGAATACAACTCAGACAGAAAAAAGAATGAAATTTGCCATCTGCAACAACATGGATAGATTTAGAGGGTATTATGCTAAGTGAAAAAAAGAAAACCATAAAAAAGAAAACAAACTAATGAATATAACAAAAAAGGAGACTCACAGATATAGAGAACAAACTAGTGGTTACCAGTAGGGAGAGGGAAAGTGGGAAGGGCAATATGGAAGCAGGCGATTAAGAGGTACAAACTATTATGCATAAAATAAGCTACTATGATACACTGTAGAACATAGGGAATATAGACAATATTTTATAATAACTATAAATGGAGTATAACCTTAAAAATTTTGAATTGCTATATTTTACCTTATATAATATTATCTAACTTCCACTTATATAATATTGTACACCAACTATACTTCAATTTAAAAAATTAAATAAATAAATAAACTGATCTTTAAAAAAAAAAGTAAGAGTCCTGAGACCAAAAGTTTGAGAAGTGTTGATTTAGCAGACTGAATACAATAAATGACAGTCAAAAATCTGTTGATTTATTTTGATAAAATGTCAATATATAGGAATACTATATTTATTTTGCAGCTATTAAAACAATCCTATTAGTCTACTAAGAAATTATAATTATCTTATGGAAATCATAGGATTAATGTTTTTATAAAAATAATCAATATTGTTAGTTAAATATAATGTTTAACATCAAAATACTTAATTTTAAAAAATACAATAAAGTTTTTAAAAAGCATTTTCTCTACAGACTCTTGTGCTTTATATTTTTTTTTTCATATACCACAACCTGGTACACATAAGTACACACAGGATAAATTATTACCAGAAAAATGGAAGATGGTTTTCAAGAGTTTGCTTACACTAATTTACTAATTATACATAATAATTTACAATGACCTTTAATGAAAAAGAACATGAAAATGAATACACGTATGTATATGTATGACTGAGACATATGCTATACACCAGAAATTGACACATTGTAACTGACTATACTTCAATAAAAATTTTTTTAAACAAAAAATTATAATGCCCAAGAAAATTGTTGTCTATAATGTTCCTTGGTATTCAAACCTCTATTCAAATTAAAAGAAATTCATTTCCATTTTAGTCTTGGAATTAAAAACAAGTAACTTATCAATAAAAAAGGAAATAGAAACCTCTCCTCTGTCACAGCTAAGGAGATATGGAGAAGTCAGTGTCTCTACCTTTTGTGTAGCTCTACATCTTGAGGCAGGAAGTAGCTTCATAGTCTTCTGAGAGGTCACTCCCACCTAAGGAAACAAACCAGCCACCTAGTGAAAGTCTTCTGATACATCAGAGATTAAAAGGACCAGCAGATTCTAATCATAGTAAGCCTTATTTTTATTGTAATTACTTATGATATGAAATAATTATCATCAGCAATGAACTTATTTTCTAATGAAATATGCCACAGAAGTCAGAATATAGGAAACAATCAAAAACAGTAAAATTCATACTATGAAGTTGTCAAGCCAAAAATAATTATGTGACATTACTGGCAAGATACTTCACACACACAAAAATATTTTTAGAAGCCTTCTTTTACAACTTCAGATAGTTGTTAAAGAGTTTTTGTAAAGTAATTAAAAATCTTTGGAAATAGATTTGTTATTATTAAAAATGCAACACAGAAGATTTTTGCTAAAATACCAAACATGCAGATGACAATGACATTCAGTCTAACTGATGATGAAGATTATTTTACAAATATGGTTTGTTCAGCAGGGAACTATCACTAGTGGTGCATAGTTAGGGGAGGAGGCTGGGACCAAAGGGAGAGAAACTGCAGAAAACAACAGATCATGAAAGAATTTACATATAATACAGATCTATCTTTTTATTCTGTATTCTACGGAGTAGTATTAAAGTTTAACTAATCTGTTTAGATTTCTATCTTTGAAACTCTGAGAAAGGTGAAGCTGGAGGCTAGGACCCCATTAGGAAGCTATTTCAATTATCCAAGCAATAGAAGATGAGGATTGAACCGCGGATAACGGAGATGGAGGGAGAAAATGGGACAGATTCAAGAGACATTTAGGAGATAAAAGCAGCAAAATGTGGGGACCAGGTAGATATGGAAGACATTAAGATGGGAAGTACCTAGCAAAACTCTGAAGGAACGTAACCGGGCAAACATTTGTACTATTAGTCAAAACAGAATTACTGAAAAAGGAGGAGCGGGAGAAGAGGGAGAGAAAGTCTAGGGCTGAAGTACTGAGAGGCAGGGTGGTGTAACAGAATGAACACCAGCTCTGGAGTCAGAGACTTTGCTTCAAACAAGAGCAACAGCGACATTTTTTCACTATTATGTACGTTACCTTCTCTGAGCCCTTCTGAGAATTTTTATGAGGATTAAACATATTTATATATGTTAAGCTCTTAGAATAAACTAGGTGCTAGAAAATGGCTGTCATTGCTTTTATGATCTATGATGATATAATTTTATTATGGTAATAATACCATAATACAGAAGAACGGCCCTGGGGAGGAACCCGGGATCGCGTCAGGACACTCGGAGCATATTCAGGACCTGGCAGACGCCAGCACCGCGGGGGCCCGTGCCGCTTCCTTCCAGGTCCCAGTGGACCGTCACCAACGAGCCTGAATTGCCCGTGAGGAAGGCGTCGCGGGGGCGACACCCAGACCCGCTCCTTCCCCGCCGCTTCGGCTCCGGGAGACCCAACAGACGGCGGTGGAAGGATGGAATCCTCTTAGGGAGAGGGGCTCACCCCGCGCAGCGCCCGCCCCAATCCCTCAGGTTTACCTGTAAATAATCCGCTCGGTTTAAATTCAGGTCCATGACGGCGGCACGGACGCGCTGGGCAGCGTCACGCCGGGACAGGTGGGACAGAGGCTACCGGACGCCAGGCCTCTGAAGGGAAACAGCTCGCGTCCCCTCTAAGGGGCAACGCCAGGTACAGCAGCCTCGGCTCGCGGGGATGCAAGGGCGGAGCGTCAGGGCAGCGGCGTCCTGCGTGACGTCAGTACGTCCCTTCGAGTGGGCTCCGGACGGAAACGAAGCACCGCCCCCTCCCGACAGACAGCCCATTGAATTAACCCGCGCCAATGAGAGGCGGAGACGAACGGAGGGCGTGGCCCAGGAGACTCCAGATGGGTGGTTTCCAGGGAGACGAGAGACGCAGTCTTCGCTCCACCCCTACTGCAGGCCTAAACCGCACCTCTAAGTCTTTCTGTGTAAAGTCTGAAGGTGAGTCCCAATCCTGTGTAGATTCTAACGTGATTCACCGGCACTGGAAAGGGTCCCTCACAAGTATTTGGTTTCACCTCCGTAGAAGTTAGCTTTACAGCAGCAATTCTCAAACTTTTGGCCTTAGGATTCCTTTACAATTGAGAACCCAAAGACCTTTTATGAGTTACCATATGAGAAATTAAACCTACATTTAAAAAAAAGTAAAAAAAAAACTTATTACATAAATATTTTAATGAAAAATAACTATTTCCCAAAATAAAGGAAAGTAAAAAGACTAGCTTTGTTTGCAAATCTATTTACTGTCCATCTGAATACTAAACAGGGAGTCACAGATCTACTTCTGCATACAACCTATTGGTACATGTTGTTTTTTGGTTTTGTTTTTTAAGTATATGAAGAAAATATGGTCCAAACTTAACAAGTGGTAGTTTTTGGAAAGTTAGTTGCAGTGTTGAATATGGCTCCATTATACAACACCTCCAAAAGTCCATTTGTTAATATAATCACAAATTCCATCAGAAAACTTTCGAAGTATTGGAAAGCTGCCACAAATTTCTTCAAAACACCAATTTCTGCCTAAAAGCTCAAATTTTAACCGCTGGCAACAAATGTTAGTTGTTTCCCTTGAAATGATAGTCTCCCTTCTTGAATTCACAAGGAAGTGTATGCCAAGTACCCAAGTCTGAATAATCATAATTTGTCAGTCATGCTTTCAAAAAAAAGTGTTTTGTGAAAAAATCAGCAAGTTCAGCTAGCAACTCAAATAATCATGCAAGTGTTTTTCCTTGGAATAACTAATGCACTTCCATACGCAGTAGAAATGTTTTATGCATACTTCCTATGTCACCACACAGAATGTTAAAAAAGATATGTACTCAAGTAGAGATTTAAAATGAACAATTTTCGCTGCTTCATAAAGGACATTTTTACATGAAGCTTTGTTTCCTGCCAATGTGTGGCATGAAGAATAAGATGACAACTACAGTTTGAAGCCACTGTATTGATTCACACTCAAATGGCAACACAGTGAAAAAGTCAAATAACATCTTCTTTTTTTTTTTACATTTTTTATTGATTCATAATCATTTTACAGTGTTGTGTACAAATTCCAGTGTTCAGCAACTTAATTTTTCAGTCTATTCAGTGGACATATACACACTCTATTGTCACTTATTTTTTTCTCTGTGATTTATCATAAC